CTTGGGTGATTCTAAAAGTCATTTCCAAGATGTAGTTTCAAATACACTTTTAGTCCAGCTGGTGTGGCTCAGTGGTTGAGCGTTGAACTGTGAATCAGGAGGTCATGGCTCAATTCCCAGTCTGGGCACATGCCTCCTGCATGCCTGCTCAGTCCCCATTGTGGGGCCTGCAGGAGGCAGTCAATCAATGGTTGTTTTTGTTTTGTTTTTTTATCATCATTGATGTTTCTTTCTGTTTTTTTTTTCTTCTTTGAAATCATTAAAAATGTATATTTTTAAAAATACACGTTCATAAAAGACAGCACCTTTGGAGGAAAGGTGTGCTCTCCCAGAGTGTGTGTTCTGAAGGTGCTGGCATCTTCACCCATGTTCACGATCCACACCTCTCTGCCCCTCCTGCCTGACTCTCTACCTTTCGCAAGAAGTGGAATGGGTGTGTGGGTTTCAAGTAAGTGCCAGACTGACTGAAGCCCTATACTGGCTGAGATCAAATAACATAAACTGAGTAGCTGGATTCATAGGCTTTTCTCTGTCTTTCTCCCATTCTTCTATTCTCCAAGCTTCAAAAAAGGAAAATCTAGACAATGGTACATTTTAAAGAATAGGCATATAGTGTACATATGCCCATGGGAATCCCTATAACCATTACTATAGCTTCTATGTGAGTCAGAATGGAATAATCCAGAGGGGAGTATCCTTATATATTCAATAGTGGAAGGCACAATTTAGAAAACACGACTATTTCCACTTTTGAGTAGCAGTAACCATGATGGCTGCATAACTACATGGTTGTTAGGTAATGATGGTCAAGAGGACTTGGGTCTATGGAGAAAAGAGCCAGGTTTCAAGTAGTTTCAAGACAATTGCTCTTTATTTATTCCACTTACTGTGTGTTGAGAATTCTTGCCTTTGCATAAGCAATGGCATTGCCTCTAGTCAATGACCTTTCAATAAACATGATGAGCAAATCAAATCCTAACAAACAGAAAGGTTTTACACCTGCCCATGTAATTGTGGCAGACGCTGTGGTAAGGCTTTTGGATTCCAGATGTGAGCAAATTGCAGTTGAGATTTAAGGATACTATTTATGATGGAAGCTGAGGCTATTTTCGTGGGAAAGATCACACGCAAACTCATCAGTGGTAGTTAACCAAGGAGTGGAGTCAGGGAAGACCTTCTGCTGAGGCCATCCTCCCTGTGGCAGGACTTTAAAGTCATTAGGATCCTCTCCACCCCCCAAAACCATCTTCCCATGTGGCCAGGTCCTGGCACTTGAAATTCTCACCATGATAAATGGAGACTTGAGTTAGGGTGGTGAACACAAAACAGTATACAGACGTTGCATTATAGAATTATACACATGAAACCTATTATATATCATGTTATTAACCAATGTTACTCGAATAAATTCAGTAAAGAAACATATTGGACCACTTGCCAATTATTGTATTTTAATGTGTACACATGGCAAGGAGAGGCCAACAATAGTATCGATAGGCATACACCGAGCAGGGGGAATGACTTATGCCAAAGACAGATGAAAAGTCACCCACTGGAAATTAGAGAAGCACACACTGTCAGTACCAACACTCCTAGCCCATTATGTTGAGCCAGCCCCAGTGAGAGCTGCTCATGAGATCAGCATATAAGACTTCCATAGACTGCTTTATAAAAGGGACTGTTGCCAGGTTATCAACTTCCCAGCCTCACAACATTGAGGGGAGGAATTGTGATGGTAACCCAAGAACTGAGCCCACAGCTTTGGCTCTGAGAAGATGCTCAAACAGGGTTTCCAAGGAGAGATGTGCAGAAAATGTGCCAGGTCAGTAGCAAGATGCCCTGAGCAAAGAGAGGAAAAGACCTCAAGATGGGATTCTGGGATCATTCCACAAACCCTCCCCAAGGCCACCATTGCTTCTCTTATGCTCATTCTTGGAGTCACAATGGAAATGGAGTCCCAACAGCAGCCAAAAGGGACAAACCACGTAAGAAAAATAATTCAAGATTCCTCATTATGTTTTTAATTCTGCACAGTTTAGAACAGAGAAGTCAAAAAGAACATGAAGTGACCTAAAGCAATGGGACTTAATTGTCCTAGTCTCCTGGGAAAGCTGGACTCAGACAGAATGAGAACCTGTTATGGGACTGCTCTGCAGATCCAAGGGGCCAGCAGGGGCGAAAACGTTTTTTAGTAGCCCACAGAGGATAGAGCAAAGTAAGCTTTATGTTTAGTGTGAATGTGTTGCTTTGAACTTCTTCGATAAGGTCACTATCAAGCTGATGATTTGAGACAGATTGAAAGAGCCACTGAAATACGGCTCCTTTTCCCAGCATCCCATGCACTTTTACATCCCCCATTTTATATTCCCATTGCTGTTTCCAGTGGATTTGTCTGAATTCTCATCTCTGACTTCAGCCCAACTGGCATGGCACAGTGGTTGGAGTTGACCTATGAAGCAGGAGGTCACAGTTCAATTTCCGGTCAGGGCACATGCCTGGGTTGTGGCTCAATCCCCAATAAAAGGTATACAGAAGGTAGCAAATCAATGATTCTCTCTCATTATTGATGTTCCTATCTCCCTCTTCCTCTCTGAAATCAATAAAAATATGTATTAAAAACCAACAACTGTGAGTTCTTTTTACTTCTGTGTCACTTTGGCTGTTCCTCCACTTCTTTCTCCAACTGCTTTTACCCAAATGCCATCTTTATCTTCAAGGACCAAGTTACCCAAGGCAGAACCTCATGCCAAGGCTTTAGAGAGCTTCAGGCCTGCTCTATCATTTCTATCAGTGGTCCCCCAGGTCCCTCCATACTCTAAAACCTTCCCTTGACAATGTTAACAACTCCTGCAGCTCTAACTATAGTTAGGTAACTCCAGTGTCTCTCCCAAATGTAGTCTTTTTTCCAGTTCTTTCCACTCGAGATCCACTGTTGTTTCATTTTCTCCGGCTCAAAAACTTCACACATGTTGACCCATCGTAGGTATCCAATCAGTATTATAGTTACCTTTCACCTCACTCCATTGTTCTACCTCCAATCAGCTTCCATATCTGAAGCTGAGCCTCTGAAACCCACCCCACTCTTGCCCTGCTCATTCTTCCACCTCCACCCATCTCAGTCCTTGTTTTTTACCAGACTCCTGATAGATCTTCCTTCTTTCTCACCTAATCCCACCATCTTCTAGGACCCACCACAACCCAGCCTATTCATAACTGCCTGATATATCATCTGCCAACCTCTGTTACAAGCAAATCTCACAGATAACCACTCAGTGCACTGCCAGATGTGATTTTACCTAACTACTTTGCAGTTGCATCTTCCACTGGCACATATATCCTCTGTTCCAGGCTACAAATTGGTCTGTCAGGCTCTAGACACACCTCCTGCTTCATCTCCTTACCAGGCAAAGTTCATGCTTGGTAAAACTTTCCCTCTTCCCAGTCCTACACACATTCATGTGTCCAAACATATCCCATAAAACTATATTTCAGAATTATGCTAATGCCATGCAGTTGTAGCAGATAGAGGTTGGAAGTATATAAAGTTTTAATGTCCTTCTCATGAATCCTCACCAGTAATACTATTCCCTGTTTATTCCACTGATAGTATTTCATGGTTTGCACTAGATTTTGATCAGATGAAAACAGTGTAGTCAATGAGACAGGCAGACAAAATTTATATAAACAGATTTGGTTTTCAAATCCTGATTGAGTGCTACCTTCTTCTTGGAGCCTCTTCTTATCACTTCCTCAGACCTCAGAAATTCATCATTCTTTAGTTACAACTTTCTTGAGACATTGATTAGTGTGTGGCAGTTATCTCTTTGTCTTATCTACCCTGAACTCTAAATGTGCTGTGGGCCAAGATTGGGGTTCACTTATTTCTGTGTTCTCAGCACCCCTCATTGTACTGGCACACATGCCAGATAAATGATTGTGATTGTGTTGGTGAGATAGCAATAAGTTAAATGGATAATCTATAAAGTGACCGATAGACTTGAGAGTTTAAATAATTCAGAAATGAGGCAACTGGGAGGTAAGGTAGAATCAATGTTTGTTGGAGGAGATTTAATGAACATTGGCCTGTTTTGGAATTATAGGAAATAAAAGATAAAGAGGTCATGGAAGAACATTATATCAATAATATGAGCAAAGACCTTGAGAGAAAAAGTAAACTTGAAGAGAAGGAGACACGCCTGCCTCCATTTAAAGGATCTTTTGATTAAAAAAATATTGGGCATAATAAGTGAGTACAAGATGAACCAGTTTGGCAAAGATAAGTTTTAGTTCCATTAAATGAGCCGTGATGGCCTGATACCAAGTGAAACTGTCCTATGGCAAGCAAAGCTGTAGCTGAGGTGAGAGTGAGATTTCGGCATCATCAGCATAGAGGTGCTAGCTCTTCCTGAATAGGGATGTGGAAAGAGCAAAACAAAGAGCCAAGGATATGGGCATGTCTTCTATTTGGGACAAAATGTGGAAGTTGGCTAATTGAGAGTCCATGGATGGGTTGTCAGAGATAGAAGAAGAGGACCCAGAGTGTGCAGGAAATCACTGAAGGTACATTTTGGAGGAAGGACAGATATGCATATAGGTCATACAGGTGCAGCCAAGATGTTGAGAGGATAAGGTAGCTGTTTTTGAGCAGTTTCTATAGAAGCTGGTCTTCACAGTGTAGGAGAAAGGGAAGCAGAGAATTTCACAGTGTTGAAGGTGCAGTGGGAAAGAGCAGTGAGGTTGGAGATGAGTCTCAGAATTATCAAGGGCCCTGCAGCCAAAACAAGATGGGCATCAAGTGTTGAAGGCCAGGTTTGCTTCATGGTCTTCCCTTGGTGGGAGCCTCCCTGGGGACAGCCTTCTCTCACTGGAAGACGGTGGCTGGGTTCAGTCATTCAACTCACGCCAACATCCTAATGAAGGGGTATTTTTTATGGAGCAGCCATGAGAAGTACTTTACAATGCATGAATATGAATGAGAAACACATTTACAATGCCAGAGAAATAAAGTTTATTGGGAAGTAAATGAAGTAGCCTCCTTGCATTCCAGAGAATACCAAAGAAGCCAGGAAAGCAGGAAATGTAATATGTATGGGAACGCCCTAAAATAATACCTGGAGCTCGATTACAGGAAGTTGGACATCCTCAGATACAGAGACTCAACCTTCAATGGAAGGGAGTTTTTCAGACATTGGAAGTTGATGATGTGTCTTTGCTTGTTGGATCTGGAAAGCATTTCCATGTCTAGAAATATCACAGTTGGCATGGCAAGGTGTCTAAAGGCACCTGAGCTCCAGCGAAGTAGTACCTAGGAACCTTTTCCAGGTTTGATGTAAATGGCTTCATTGTCATCTTCAAAGAGGATGTCAGTATTTAAGTAAATAGCAACCTTTTAACAGGGTCCACAGGAGTTTCCGCAAGCATTGGTGGTGGCGCACGGGTTGCAGGGGAGGCTGGGAGAAAACAGTTTTAGAATGCATTAGGGAGAGGATAGAGAAAACACCAAGTTTAATGAAACAACCTATGAATTCACAGTGGTGGAGTTAGTTGGAATCAAATGTGATTATTACCTAATCCTTTTCCCTTCCCCAGAATGACATGGGTAGAAGTGGAAACTTGTCCTTTTAAAAATATTACCTCTATTGTTAGCTCTCTGAGGCAGGGGATATATGCACTTTACCTTTGACCTTACATATAAGTTTAACTGTCACATGGTAGACACTTGCTTAATGTTATTGGGTGAGTTGAAAATATGGCCGACATGTGAGTCTACAGTGTCATTAGTCCCACATATACTTCCCCAGAAATATTTTGCCTCATACTCACTTGCAGTCCTCACTCTCCAGAAGGTTCCGGTACGTGTTGATCTCACACTCCAGCCGGGTCTTGACATCCAGCAGCACCTGGTACTCCTGGTTCTGCCGCTCCAGGTCGCATCTGATCTCACCGAGCTGCTCCTCCACGTTGGTGATCATGCACTGCACCTGGGACAGCTGGGAGCTGTAGCGGGCCTCCGTCTCTGTCAGCGTGTTCTCCAGGGAGTCCCTCTGTGCAGGGGAGAGGAAGAATGTCACAGAGCTGCTCTTTTAGCATGTCCCTCCTTAAGGTTCCATAGAAGTCACAAGATTCCAGAGTTAAAGAGACTGTGACCCAAAAGGCCTATTAGTGACTCTGATTTCCTGACTTTCTCACCAGCAGGTCTGAACAATACCCACCAGGTTGTGCTGGGCCTGCAGCTCGATCTCCAGGGCATTGACCGTGCGTCTCAGCTCAATGATCTCTGCCTGGCAGGTCTGCAGCTGCTCTGAGCTGGACACCACCTGCTTGTTCAGCTCCTGGGTCTGAAACACCAAAGGTAAGAGACAGGATCAGACCCTGCCTTAAGGGTCCCGAGGTCCTGGGTGGCCTCGTGCCGAGATGCCCACCTGGTTGGTGTACCATTCCTCCACGTCCCTGCGGTTGGTCTCCACCAGGGCCTCATACTGACACCTGGTCTCATTGAGCACGCGGTTGAGGTCCACGGTGGGGGCAGCGTCCACTTCCACGTTGAGGCGGTCTCCAATCTGGCAACGCAGGGTGTTGACTTCCTGGTGGAGGAAGGGGAAGGTGTGAACCCACAGAAATAGATCTGCTATCTTCCTGCAATAGTCAAAAAGTTCACTGAAAAGAATATCCTGACTTTTCCAAAGACTGACACAGATATTATATAAAAATAAACCCAAATAAGGGTCACATCTATTCCTTTCTGGGAAAACTGAAATACACCTACATCTCCTATAAGACAAAGTCTTAACTCCTGGCTATGCGCAGGTCCTTTGTCATTTCCTGTCACATCCCTCCAGGTACCACATGCCCAGCCATACCCATTCATGGGCCGTTCTCAAATATACCTCCCTCTGCCACTTCGTGTCTTTGTTCAGCTCCCTCTCTCAGATTACAACACCCAAGTACTGAAGTTTTCCCACTCTCCATAACATGCCTCTGAGAAGAGTTACTTTCAAGCAGACTGGATTGTTCTCAGGGCTGCTCATACTAGTACATTTCATCTAGCACTTATTTCCCTCTGCTGGGATTATATGATGTTTTTACATTGTTGTCTCCCCAGACTAGAGACAAGACTGTGGAGCCTTTGAAGAGAGGGGCTATGTCTTATGTCTTTTTTTTCTTTTTTCTTTTTTCAATCTCTACCACCAAATTAGGGACCCAACAGTGGCCAACAGAGAACCTGGATTTCCTTCCTCAGCACCTTGTTGTACACTATGGACATAGCGTCCTTATTCCCTGAACTGGCCCTGAGTTCTTCAGAGAAGGTACCAACCAGGGGTCCTAATGGCAAGTGCCTCCTCATACCTGATGCTGACGGGTTAACTCTGAAGCCTATTGTTGTTGGTTTTTCCCCCCTCTCACCTCCTCGTGGTTCTTCTTGAGGCAGAGCAGCTCCTCCTTCAGGGACTCCACCTGGGCCTCCAGGTCAGCCTTGCACAGGGTCAGCTCATCCAGGATCCTGCGCAGGCTGTTTATGTCTGACTCCACCAGCTGCCGGGAGGAGCGCTCCATCTCGTACCTGCACACACATGTTGGAGTGGGAGGAGGAGCCAGGAAGGAAGCCCATCTCCCTGCCCCATGTCCTGTTGGAATGGCATTGCCTTGCTGTCTTTGAACTGACACAGTGTTCCATCCCTTCTTTTCCTTGTGTTCCTTGATCTCTGCATGAATAGTCTGAAGGGGACTGGACTCATCCTAACACCCAAAGGTGCCCATGGGGATTCCTGGAATGGCGTCTCTCACTCTCCTCTCAATGTTGTTGGTTAATATACCACCAAACCAATCCATTCTCCAATAGTTAACTTCAATTTCTGAATTCCGGAGTTTAAGAAGGACCAATAGGAACTGAAGAGTAGATAGCATATGAATCTGGGCTCCAGCCATCAGAGGAGAAATATAAAGGGGCAATGGCTTCCTCTCCTCCTCCAGGCAACATTAGGCCCACCGGGCCAGGAAGGAGCCCTAGGGACATTGGTGGTTACGTGGCCGAAAAGCTTCAACATACTTGGTTCTGAAGTCATCAGAGGCCAGCTTGGCATTGTCGATCTGTATCACCAGCCTGGCGTTCTCAGACTTGGCACACAGAATCTGAAAACAAGGTTCCACTGTGAGGACCCCATGAACTTGAGAACTTCTTATTGTTCAAAGACATCCAGCTGCTGCTGTGCCCCCACATACCCCGCCCCTCACCTTCTGCTGCAGCTCCTCGATGGTCCGGAAGTAGGACTGGTAGCTGGGGCACATCAGGGGCTCCTGCTGCTGGCACCGCTCCTGGATGCGGCACTCCAGCTCCGCATTCTCCCGCTCCAGCTGCCGCACCTTCTCCAGGTAGCTGGCCAGGCGGTCATTCAGGAACTGCATGGTCTCCTTCTCGCTGCCATTGAAGGAGCCCTCACAGAACCAGCCGCAGTTGCCCACATTGGCGGGGATGTTGCAGGCCCCAGGTAGAGGGATGTCATGGCAGCTGGGGGCCACACAGGGCCGGGAGGGGCAGCTAGAGCCGCAGCTCAGGTTGGACAGACAACAGTTGTAAGGCATGGTACTGGGAGAGGTGATGGAACAGCAGACGAGCTGATGGAGGTGGATATGGGTGAGGTTTGAGTCTCTCCTTCCTCCATGGTCCTTTTATACCCTTTATTGTGGCTGGGGGTTTGGCGTGTTGCATAGTTTTCTTTCCTAATGCTTCAGGTAATTTTTTTTCTCCAAAATATGCTTGTTAGATGCCTCCACAGAGTCTTCCTTCATCCCATAAAATTATTCCATTCATCTTGTGTCACACGGGCTTCTCCTGGGTACTGATGGTTGGTAAAAACAGAGTTTCATCAGGTGGCTTCAAAGGAGACAGAATCATTACAACTCCAAATGGTCCTCCCCATTACTCAGAGGGGAGGATAGCCAGGGACATGGGGTGGAGTTGTTTGGGACTCCTCACCCATGAGGACCTGCCACTGGAATCCTTAGAGAGAGAGTTCAGAGTAAACAGTCTACTGGTGGCCATCTTCTCCCAAGTGTATTCACATTTGTGTTCAGTACAACTTGTCTTTCAGCAAAAATTCATCCTGTATCAGCTGCAAGGATCCTGAGCCTTACTCTATGAGAATATTAGTTGGGGGCTTAGAGAATTTGTCAGTAATGAAGAGTCTGAAAATAATTGAGTATTTATGGTTGGGCAATGAAACCAGTGGAATGGGCAGGCATAGTCCTAAAGCAGAGTTTAGCCTCTTGCCCTTTTTTGTAAATAAAGTTTTATCCGCACATAGTCATGTTCACTCATTTAGACATTATCTGTGGTGCTTTCATTCTACAGTGGCAGAGTTGAGTAGTTGCAACAAAAACCATATGGCATGAAAAGCCTAAAATATTTACTATCAGCCCTTTTCAGAAAAAATCTACCAATCTTCATTTCAGCAATGAGTTTCATGGCTTAGAATCAAAGAATTTTATAGTTCGAAGGATTTGAATTCATGGAAGAGAAAACGGAGGCACAGATAGTGAGGAAGGAAGAAAATGAATCCCAATAGATCACTTTCTAGTCAGGTAGCCTATGGGACCCTTCACACACAGTGTTCCTGTCTCACTCAAAGAGTTTGGATTCTATTGCTGTCATCAATATCATTGATGAAGACTCTGAGACACTGGGGAGAAATTTAACTTGTCCAATGACACATATAGGTAGGTTCAAGTCTGCCTGGGCCATCCTACCTCATTGTGAATTAGAAGAGCAGTTGCCAACCTTTCAGACCTCAAGGACCACCAGTGATCCTTGGACCATCAGTTGCCAACCACTGAACTGGAGATATGAGTCAAGGACAAGGTCATGGAGTGTCCAAGCACAAGAACTGGAAGAAGACACAGAAATGAGATCATGAATTTTGATACCAGCTCCAAGGACAGACATATTGCTTTGCTCCTCAGTAGAATGGAGGTTAAAAGTGACAAATACCACAAACTTGTGATGAGGTGTGATGCCTGGAAGTAATGAAATGGGCTTTTATAGAGGAAAATGCTGAGACTCCTGGGCAGTGCTCTCCCACCTGTAGATCTGACAGCAGTCTCAGGCCTCAAAGGGCTCCAGCAATGACTTTGGCCCCAGGTACGAGGATGAAAAAAGTGCTTTATCTCTATTCCATAACTATAAAATTTTCAGGGAAACAGAAAGGAAAAGAATCAGCAAAAATATTTACTAGCTTGTAAGCCTGGGGAAAAGTCAAACATCGGAGAGTGATATGCCCAGTGGGCTTAGAGTTCAGACCAAGAAAGCTCAGGAGCCAATAAACCAGATCATCAAAGAGCACTCACTGGACATGCCAACTGAGAAGGGACCTGGGGCCCTCATCAGAAGATGGTCCTGGGCCATAGAGTATCAAATAGAGCTGAGTAGAAAATACACTCCTCTCGGAGTTGAGTGGGGATTTAGAAAAGAGTATTTAGAATAGTCCAACTCAGACGGATAGGGAGTCGAATCGAGGTTGTTCCAGGGGCTCAGGGCAGGTAGGATTGAGAGGTTTAATGAGTAGAGTTTCAGTTTGGGATGATGAAGTTCTGGAAATGGATAGTGGTGATGGCTACAACAGTGCTGAATGCATGTAATGGCCCTGAATCGTACACTAAAAATGGTTAAAGTGGTACATTCTCTGTTATATGTATTTTACCACAATTTTAAAAACATAATGAAGGTATGGGTGGGCCTGTGCTCCTTTCTGCAGGCTCCAGGGAAGAATCCATTTCCCTGCCTTTTTCAACACCTGGAGGGTACCTGCATTCCTTGGCTCGGAGGCCCTTCTTCAAATCCTGCAGTGATGGGTCAAGTGCTTCTCCTGTCACATCGCTCTGACCTATGTCCACAGTCACATCTCCCTCTGTCTCTCTTGTCCCTCCCTCTTCCACTTTTAAGAACCATTGTGATTACATTGGGCCCACCAGCTAATCCAAAATAATCCCCCAATATAAAGGCAGCTGGTTTGCAATTTTAATTCCATCTGAGACCTTAATTTTCCTCTGTGTGTAAATTAATATATTCCACATTCCTAGAATTGGGACATGGACACCTTTGCAGGGGAGGAGAGCAGGTATTCTGCCTACCACATGAGCTTTTAGAATTACTTCAGCATTATTGTAAAATACTAATATATGTAAGCAGGATATGCAATCAATGAACAAGCAAAATTAGGCAGGACCTCTGAACCGAACTTGACCTTGGATTTGGAGGAAATCACAGACTTGGTGGTGAACCACATGAGAGAAGGAAGTTCAGGTCAGAGGCTTCTCACAAACCAAGCAGCCAAACATGCAAATCTGAATCCATCCCGAAATTCAAGCTTTGAAAATAAGGATTAAAAAAAAAAATCAAGGGGAAAGTTATAGTAGAAAGAATAAATAGTTGCTTTATTTAAAAATATTTTTTAATCCATTTTATTATTTTAGTACACAAGACTGTGTTCCACTAATGTGGGGTCTGATACCAGCCTCAGGAAGCCTGGTGTGATGATCAAATTAATGGGGAAAATTAGACCCCCCTTTGGTCTCTGATCCCTTCTTCTGAGGTTTTAGCAAATAGATGCTTATCACTTTCATGGCTCTTCATTAGAATTAAAGAAAGATCCCCATTCTCGATGAATGCTACTATCCCCTTCAGTATCCCATGATCTGCTTGCCTCTCCAGCCTTTGGTCACAAGGCCAGGGACCATGGCTTATAACAGCACTCCCTGGGGATGATTTTTAAGCCTTTTAACAAATTGTGAATAACTTGCAGCCAGGACTGTTTTTATGTGTCTTCCCTCTCTGCAGCCTAGGGTCTGCATGGAGCAGGTATTCATCAGGTACTGGTTGGACTGCATTGAGAAAGGCAGGGATATCAAGTGAGGAGTTGAGGAGTCTCTAAGCCTCAGAGCCCAGAGGGGAAACGAGCAGCTGAAGCCCAGGCTGGTAATGACCCACCTACACTACACAGGGCATACACATCAGAGGGTCCCTTCACTAGGTGTTCCTGAGGTTGTGGGACCCCCCGTCATCCAGGTGATACAGTGCCGGGCCCTATAACTTCCTGCCTAGAGAAGATGAACTTTCCAGAGCCTCTCTCTTTCTGGCCTCCAGCTCATGCCTTTGAGTACAGTCAGCTTTAGGAGATGTCCAGGTCAAGAGAAGGGGGTGGGGAGAATCTATTATAGGAATGGTCAGGGAGAGAGAGGAGCCATAGCTCTGCAGCTGCCCTGCCCTCCCTCCTGCCACCCAGCCTCACCCATGGGTGCCAGGCCAGCCCTCTGCCCGCTGGGCATAGAACGGCTCTGTATGCAAGAGTCAGTCATTATATGGCCTGACTTTCAAGTGGCTTTTTATAGAGTTCTCCAGGGGTGGGTGTGGCGAAACGAATGAATACCAATGAGAAAGGCATCTGTTTTGCCAGGGAAGTCAAGTTTATTAGGAGGTTCCAAGGAAGGCTGCTGGTGCTTGGGAGGGTTCTCTGGACAGGCAACAAAGGAACAGACCCTGGTGAAGGCAAGGCTGGGCAGGGAATGAATTATCTAGAGTAGGTTGGGTGAGTCTCCAGCCACGCAAATTGTGTCTTCAGCCCGTGTGTTGAATGAACCAGGGCAAGGCCAGGTCAAAGCTCCGGAGCCCTGGGCCTGCCTCCTGGCTCCTCTGGCAGCCCTTAGTGCACAAAGGGGCTGCAGGGTCCACAGCGGGGGCGGGGGACGCATGGCGTGCAGGGAGCAGGGGGAGCACAGGGGGTGCAGGGATTGGAGACACAGGGCCCAATGGGCTTGCCGCAGGCGTTGGTTGTGGCGCAGGGATTGCAGGGCAGCCTGGCAAAAAGAATGATGTGGAAAGGTGAATTGAGGGAGGCTTATAATACGTACCAGAGAGACCCCAAGAATGGAATGCCCATCTGGACTTGGCCTGACCAATAACAGAAAGGCTAGAGGCTCAGTGGTTACAAAGCTGAGGGTCAAATTTCACATGGTCTCCCTACCATATAACGCCAAAATTCTAGACAGAAACTCTGCAACTCTGGCTTTGACTCCCAACACTATCTATTCCCAGCTGGTGACCTTGAGAAAGTCCCTGAACTTCTCTCAGCCCAGTTTCTTCCCCTACAGACTGGGGTAAACACTGATCCAGCCTGCCAGCTCTTAACTGTATGTAAGGCCAGATGAGGTAGTGAGTGGAAATGTACCATCTACAAAACACAGTATTATAAGACGTATGAAATATCATCAATATTATCACATTAGAATATAAAGACTTGGCTGTACAATTTCAGTTTGTACATTAAACAATTCTTTCCATTTTATGTTTTTAATGATGATCATGTTGTGTTTTCTGAGTTCTGCTTGAGCCTGTCTGTGTGAAGTCATAATTCCATTTCCAAGGCATGCAATTTTTCTCTGGAGTCCGTGTGTGTGTGTGTGTGTGTGTGTGTGTGTGTTCATCAAACACCCCTGGCCAAGTACTCACTTGCAATCCTCGCTCTCCAGCAGGCCCCGGTACGTGTTGATCTCACACTCCAGCCGGGCCTTGACGTCCAGCAGCACCTGGTACTCCTGGTTCTGTCGCTCCAGGTCACTCCTGATCTCAGCCAGCTGAGACTCCACGTTGGTGATCATGCACTGTACCTGGGACAGCTGGGAGCTGTAGCGGGCCTCTGTCTCCATCAGCGCGTTCTC